GCGATGGCCCAGGCACAGAAGAGGGTGGATGATCACTCAGAGGGAGCTGGTACGGCAACTGGAGGAAAAGGGAAGGGGATGTAGGTGGAGGGGTAGGGTCGACAGTGTCGACTCGACACAGGATTGTCAACAACCGTGACTCTTCGCGTGGGCACGGATAGTATCCGAGCTGAGACTCACCGTGTCATACGATACAGTCTGTACATGATGCATTATCCGCAGTCAACTTGATGGAGTCATTCCAGTGAAGTGGCATGCCAATCTCTTGGTATCCCCAGGGGATCCCAAGAGATGAAGGGATCGAATTTCCAGCAGGCACTTCGAACAAGAGAATCTCGGATAACTGTGTTTTATGTAGCCATTATCTTCATGTATGAATCCTGCAATCGCCAATATTCCCCTTCCCCCCCCCTCGTTCATCGAGATGCTAACGATAATGTTGATAACAATGAGACGAGTGTCAGGAGCATCACAGTTGAAGAAAAGGGGACGCGGAGTTAACTTTAAACAGTCGGGTGAACGCCAGAGAGTCTGTCATCTGGGGGCTCCATGAGGTTGAATGCGTGCCCGAGACATGGGGAACACGAAATTCGTTCTCATCAAGATTTGTCCTTCACATATACGAGTTATAGGAGGTCTACGATTCGTGGACCACGAGTCAGGTCTCGACTCGCAGTAATGGAATTAAGCTATTGATATACTGCCAAAAACAGTATGCGGGCCTGGTCTCGACGATTGGTGGAGATCATACAATGTGTGGCGACATGCTTCCGATGGGAAGTGGTCGCAGACAGCGAACTGCTGTCAGCAATCCGGTTATTGATCTGTTCGATCACTTCGAGTTAAGATGGCACGAAGAGAATCTATGATCCGGTATACATCGATGAAACTGGCTACAATCTATTTACGACTCGCAGAGTTGGCCATTCTCGCATGGGTAACTGGCCTTGAACGACAGTCGCGAACCATGGAGGCAGTCGATTCACCAAGTTAGTTGTCGTCTGTAACGGAGGCGAAATGCTGCCTTGGAGGTATCGTACGATGTTCGATGGCTGTGAGGAAGGAGAAGGACGTTCAAAGCTATCACAGGCAAGGTGATCTTGCCAAGATCCCTGGTCATTAATGACAAGGCTATTTGACCCCTTTGGCTTGCTGTCAGAAGTGACTACAGACGAGATGTATGATGAAAACCTTGTATGATATGGGCTATGGCGCTGGGGAGCATGCGTCGCTTGGTGTGGAACCATGACCGCTAGAACAAGATTACGTCAGAGACGTGTTGGAGCGATGCACTGGTTACTTGTCGTCTGACCGAGTATTGCCTCCCAGATTTGTAGATCTGTCTGAGGTCTGGGTCTACGCCGACGCCAGTGGGTCCTGGCCATGGCCTGGGACATCAGAGATAAGGTGGGTACCAGAGTAGAGGCTAAGGTGGTCACTTCTCGACATGGTTCCATCCCGTTGAGGGAATTGGAAGTCATATGACGTTCTGACTAACTTTCAACACTAGGGAGCATGGTGTAGTTTGATTATAGCTTCGTATGCATCCCACAGACGATGCCTTACCGGCGGTAAGTTATCGCTCATATAATCATCTCTCTTGAGACATGAGTGATGATTGATAGCTCTGATTAAACCAGTAGCAGTAGTGAGTGGTAGTGTTGGACGCCCCTTGGAAAATTCCCCACGAGAAACTTCTGGGTTGATGAACATGTGTTTCCCACCGAGTAGATATGGGCCAGCAACCACACGGAGCAGCATGAAGCCTCCTAGAATATCAGTACCCACCAATGGCGGCCCTCCGCGCGGTAGTCGATTCGAACGATTGTGAGTGGTCGTGGCAATAGTAGGAGCACTTGTATACCCTCTAGGTATGCTGAAGGGGCTGAGCGCAGTGCGAGACGGAAGAACTTGGAGAAGTCAGTTATGGAGGAAGAGAAGGCCAGATTGAGGAAGGAGATAGCCAGAATCAGGCAGGGAAAGCGCAGTACGTAGGTTCGGGTGTTGATAGACTTCTCACGACCACTCGTGAGTCTGCGGTATTTCTCTCCGACTGGTTGTGATTGTGACCTCTGTTCATCAGACGTCCCTATACAAAGGCCGACCCAAGAAGGGTCAAAGGGATTCTGGGAGAGAATGAGCAAGCATGAGGCCGATGCTCGGGCTTCGAAGTTGCAGAAAATAAGAGAAGAGTTATTGGAAAAAGAACGACAGGAGATCGAGGCCAGCAAGGTATCGGTCACTAAGGAACAAGTGTGGGAGTAGTCGAGCTCCTCAGTTCTTCCCGCCTAGTAGACATCGACCGG